TGTTGGAACAGAAGACAGACGCTGCTTTCAAACGGCATCTGGATGAGCACCTGAAGGGGCTATGGAGGAACGAACACTTGTGATCGGACCTTCGACCCAGTGGTGATGGGGCTTACACGGGCACCCTGCCCTCTGCCCTCAATCCTGAAGACTGAAGACTGATGGAGGCACGACCACAGGAACCTGACCATATTCACCCAGAGTTAATAAGTTAGTGAGTTCGGTCATAAGTATTTGAAGGGATAGGATGTTCGTTATAAATGAGAGTGATGGGGAAACACAAACAGAAAGTGGTTGGTTTATAAAGATAACTCCTAGAATAACTCTAATGTTCCCTGAATAACCTCACAGTTTTATTCCTCATTGATCTTTTGAAGGAGCTTTTAGTTTTGCATTGATTCCATTTTACAAGTCCCATAGATCATATGGTGTATTATGATGAAATTTAACGTTACTACAATTGCGCAGTCGTTGCTATGACAACCAAGGTAAAATTCCATGCAGAAAATGATTCAAGACACATTAGGGGTTATGTGGTTAATGATTCCAGGATGATGAAACGGATAACCCGACCTACAATACTACTCGTCAGTGGGTCCGTTTCGATTTTAGACTCCACTGGATTTAGCAACATCCGCAAGACAAAAGGATCACTATAATCAGAGTACCCCGTCCGACCACTGAAGTTATTCGAATTTTCGGACCTCGAAAGACAAATATCACTTCTAGCAATTCCCCGGCCACAGAATGAAGATATCATTCGTTGAGAGTAATGTTCTCTGAACATTTTTAAACCGCTTATCTAAGAACACTTCAATGTGATGCCTGTAGGATGCTGATGTAATTCAGGTATTACCGACCAAAGCTACATCTTTCACACGGTCAAAATCCCACCATTGTCCCCCAAGGGATCAAACTATACAGGATCCAAACTTCGGATCTTTCTGTTTAAATTAAGTCTGCTCTGCCACACTAAACTCGTGGCTTCATGGATTCAAGAATTCTGTATCCTTCCGAGAGTACAATAAGCGAATCAATGGGATTCTTTCCAGATTCTTATTGAGCAAGCACCAAAACACGGGTGGTTAACCGTGGATTCGAGAGAAAACTATCTATCAATACTCATCTAATGCCGAACCATTCCCAAAGTTATGTTCCTAAAGTAAACTCATACTGTCTCAAACTCAGTTGATAGTTTTTCAGTTCGAAGTGATCATAATTCATCCAATCAATCCTGAAATGCTGCGGCGACGACGTAGAAGAGAAGCAATATCTCAATCTCCTACATCACGTTGTTAGGTTGCAAGAATAGAGCTGTTCAGGTGTTTCCTGGAGCACGGCGACGCTGTCGATATTGTTGTGAGAACAAAGTTCGTTTCTGCTCTCTACTCTTTTTTCTTCTCACAACCTACACCTTTGTAATTCTGAAGTGAGCTTCACTACTCTCTTAATTGTGTTTCATGCTGACGCAAACCTTTTGCTCATGAGATACAAATTAGTTTTCTAGCATTTAATTCTCGCATTTAATCTACTACATAACACTATTAAAGAATTTCAAAATAGGTAGCAACTTTGTACAAAAGCTTCTACCACACCTCAAACAGTCGATCAACGTTGTCCAAAATAAGTGTAGTTCGGTTTTCTCTGGTCGATTTAGATTCTGCGTTCTTCATGTACATGCCATTGCTTTTCAGTTGTCTTACCTGAATCACCTTCCCAGATGCCCCACAATTCAGAAATCTGAATCTACACACATACACACACACGCACACTGTCTGCACCTGTTGTTACCTTGACACACTCATTCAATGAATTTAGGTTGCCCTGGTTACAGAAGGCAGCTGAATCTGCACGATTCGCTCGCATGAAGCATTCACGTGACTACAATGTAAAATCACGATATCAACAGCAAATAGTTTCGTTGCACAATCTCAATTATGGGTAGGTCTTCCTGATGTTACCCCTGGGAACTGTTGTAGTATAGGGATAGTTCTCATGGTGAGATCAGTATTTGTTTCCGTTCATGCTGTGCAATCTTTGAACAATACCATCACCAATTTGAGCTGATAAAAAGTTACGAACACGGCATTTTTCTGTACTGAAAACTGTCTGATTATCGACGATCATCAAACATCCAATTTTATGATATGATTAGTCAGAAAAACAAACTGAGTTCTTTCCCAGATTCTGTCGATTGTTTGAAAAAACAAACCCTTTGAAAGTGGCCATGAATTTTGTTCATGAAACGGAGGAGACAATAAAATACTTGTGCTCGTTGTTTGGAGAGACGATTGTCTTTTACAACTTCATTCTTCAATAATCTGACCGCTTGTCCAGTTGAAATATTTCCTTACGTGTTTGAAATTCGCGCTAGTTACGTTGCGCAGTTCTTCCGCCGACCACACTCGATGTACAAAATGTCCTACTGCGTAGGTTTGCATTCGCAATTTATACCGCAAAATACCCATATAAACATCTTCAATACGTAAAAGCCTCACATATGCTGATGCGATCGATAGGTCTGTCACAACATTGATTCCTTTGATATATGAATGCCCTCCAAAGTACGCAGGATAGTAGTCCCATGGGAACTCATCTTCCGATATGGCCCAGCGATTGTCAGAATATTTCACCGGCCGTCTTACTACGTGGTCTTGACCAAGAATACCGAAACTCAAATCTGGTAATATTTCTGCGGGAAACTCGCGCACCAATCTGATCAGATTGTTTGGAATCACGGCAAAATCGTGATCCAGAAACAGGAACAACGAGGACTCTTGGGGGCAAAAAGCCGAGATCCAACGGAGCATGAATGTTTGTTTCGTAGTCAACGAAAAGTAGTGATCCATGAAATCACCGATCAGCAAATCACCCCATTGATTTGCCTCTGAGAACAATTCGTTCTTAGTACGCTCATAATCTTGTTTATCATTGCCATGACTGCGATAATTGACTGATACTCCTTTGAAGTGAATATTCCCGGTATAATTTTCTGGAGGCATTCCAGTGACAAACGCGAATCGAATACGAAAATCACCCCATAAGTGAGGTTGCATGTAAGTTGCACGTGCCCTATTACGATCCCAATGGCAACGAACGCAGGACTTTATCAGCACCACCAGATCGGATCGACTCCGCTTATTTCTGCTGGGATCACAGAAGCCTCTCGGTACCATGAGAATGTGCATATCTGGATCGTTGATTGGTTCCTGCATTAGAAAGAGAGAACCGGGTAAAACACTCATCAGAAAGCATCTTGATGGCTGAAACCTGACTACAATGCGTTTCTTCTCTAGTCAAAAAGAACGTAAGCTGCACAAAAAGATGTTTCATCGACCACAGTGCATTGCATGTTTATCAACATGGTTCAACGATCAACCCCTACAGACAACTCGGGTTTAGGCAGATTTGGGTCGGAACAGTACTCTTGTCGGTGAAAAACTCTTTGTATTGGTGACCTTGAACTACACCTTTTTTTCATCGAGCTTTAGACA